GAACAATATTCTTGCCTGTAATCCTAGCTCTTGGGAGGCCGAGGCGGGCGGATTGCTCAAGGTCAGGAGTTCAAAACCAGCCTGAGCAAGAGTGAGACCCCGTCTCTACTATAAATAGAAAGAAATTAATTGGCCAACTGATATATATATAAAAAATTAGCCGGGCATGGTGGGCGATGCCTGTAGTCCCAGCTACCCGGGAGGCTGAGGCAGAAGAGATCACTCGAGCCAGGAGTTTGAGGTTGCTGTGAGCTAGGCTGACGCCACGGCACTCACTCTAGCCTGGGCAACAAAGCGAGACACTGTCTCAAAAAAAAAAAAAAAAAAAAAAAAGAACAATATTCTTGTTGTTGTTCTTAATCCTTTATTTAGATTGTCTTCTTGTTTGCCCAATGTTTGTTTTATGTTTCAGGATCCAACTCAGGATAGAATATCACATTTGGTCATTATGTTGCTGAAGTTCATCTTGATGATGAAAGAATTTTCTTAATTTTTATGGCTTTGATAGGTTTGAAGAGTACTGGTCAAGTGTTTTCTAAAATGTCCCTCAATTGGGCTTTTTTTCTGATATTTTCCTCATGATTACACTGGGGTAATGGGTTTAGGGGAGAAAAATCATAAAAGTGAATGTACATTCTAATCACATGATAATCTGGATACTTGTCAGTTTGACTGACACTGCTAATGTCCAACTTGATTGCCTGGATGAAGTATGTTTGTCAGGTTTCTCCACTGAAAAGTTACTGAAATCAGTATGTGCAACCGACAGATAGGGAGTGGGAAGTTGTGTTCTACCTCCTGGAATGCAGACTATCTACCTAAATTATTGAGAATTCTTCTGTATGGGACATTTGTTTCCCTTATTTATAAGATATTCATTCTTTTTCACCAGTATGATATGGAAATTTATTTTATAATTGGGATAGTAAGTGAATTTGATTATTGTACATTACTCATTTTGTTGCTCACATTTTTCCTTCTTTATTTATTGGAAGCACTTTCCCTCGACTCCTGTTATTTTGACATACAACCACCATTGTGTTTCTCTCTCTCTTTCTTTCTTCCAACTTTCTTTCCTTTTTTTCTTTCTCTCTCATCTTTGAGAGAGTGCTTTGTTTTAGCACTGCCTTAATTTCTTACACTGTAATATATTATGGACATATCATACAAATTTCCCGACTGTCCTAGTCAACTCTCAAAAGAGCCCTGTTTCCTTTTATGGAATAACATGATTAGAAACTATTGTTTGGTTTCTAAGCCCACTTATTGCTATTGCCTTGCTCACATGTTCTAGGCCTTCTCAGCTGACGGATCAAGGAGACAGACAAGTATATACTAATTCAGGTATATATAGTACGTATGCATAACTACAACTATTTCTATTTATCACCCTCCACATCTATATTAAGCAGAAAATGAGTTCATTCCTTCTTCAACACTAATCATTATTACTTGGGTCACTCTAGACTTACCTACAATTTTATGATCTTCTAGCTCATCTTTCTCAATTCAAAAACTGCCATTTATAACCATCTTAATAGCTTAATATAGTTAATTTGATAGAACAAATTTTGTTCGTAGCATGTGGTCATATATATTTCACATTTCAATAGAAAATATAACTAGAAAATAATCCCAGAGACTGAAGTTGTCTCTTTATACCAACAACAACAAAAACAACAAAAACATATTGGACAGATATTTTATATCTTGGTAAGTTAAAAGAATGTGTGTGTGTGTTTGTGTGTGTGTTTATGATAACGTGTATTAAATCACAGTATAACACAAAAAAGAAAATGGGAGTGAATGTGTGACTGAGTTATAGTAATATTAATTTAATATCTCAATATACACGATAGAGTTCTGCTTTATATTCTCTCACCAAGGGAAAGAACGATTGACATAAAAATTGTATTGACTATGTCCACTCTAAGGTAAAGCTGAGGATACCCCAATTACAACTTTTCCACATCTTTGAATTCATTTTTGTCTTGTAGGATTACATTTTTTTTTTATATTTAATTTTTCAGCAGTCATATAAAATTACATGCATTGGTTATATACAACATGATGTTTTAAAGTATGTATACATTTTGGAATGTTGAAATATAGTTAATTATCAGATGAATTACAACATATAGTTAGCATTTTTGTAGAGACAATGCTTAACATCCACTTTCTTAGCATTTTTCAAGAATTTTTATAACTGGATAGTATTCCACTGTGTGCATATACCACATTTTATTTATCCATTCATCTGTTGAAGGATATTTAGGTTGATTTCATAACTTGACAATTGTAAATAGTGCTGGAAAAAACAGGAGAGTGCTTATAGTCAGAGTTGTATAAGAGACTAAGCTGGACACTCACTGATTGAGAACTATTATAAAACTCAATTAAATTTTATAAAACAAACTAAAGACTTTCTCTAATGATGTAGGAAACTTTCATGGCTTTGGATTGATAACCATCTAATAATATCACAGCACAGATCATTTATTTTACACACTAAAGAAGACACTTATAGCAAGGAGAAATAATTTTTTTTTACAAAATACACCAGGTTTATGAATCAAATCCATCACAAAAGTATGTCCACTATAGTAATCTGTGTCTCTCATCAAAAAACTGAATAAATTATATTAAGTGGAATAAAATAATTTAAATCATCTTCTTGTTAGCATTCAGGGCATAAATTAATTGGTAGTATACATTTTATCATTAAAATAGGGAGTTTTATTTTAAATATAATTATCATTTCAATTTTAGTGACTCAGTTGTAAAAAGGGATTATAACCATGTATAATGACATTTTTTTCCAGATGCATTGATCCACTGTACCAAACCATATCAAGGAAGAAACAAAGAAGACTATCAAAGAATAAAAAATATCAACTATAATTCTCTAGTCACTATTTTTTATTCATTTAACTTATTTAACATTTTAAAAACATTTTTCTTTGCCTCTGGAAATATTTTATTTTTCAAACTGTTTACTTATTTACTCCTGGTCTAAGTGAGTGACAATTATTTTTCCCGATACTAACCGTAACTCAAAGAGTTTAAGTTTATTTTTCAATTCAAAAATCTAAAAACGAATCTCAAATCTCCAAATTCTAACTCTTAATTTTCAAGAGTTCTTATAAACCTATAAGTATGCCATCTGACCTTTGCTTTTTGTTACATGAAACATGTGTATCATAACTAATTCTTTGTTGAGCTGTAACATCCAAAATTATATTAACTTACAGGAAGAACATAGATTTGCTATGAATTTCTTTAAGGCCACTTTCACATCCTTATTCCGCAGGCTGTAGATCATGGGATTCAGCATAGGGATCACCAGTGTGTAAAACACAGAAGCCATTTTATCAGTATCTAAGGAGTGGTTGGTTTTAGGTTGTAAATACATGAATAACAGTGTCCCATAGAAAACTGTGACAGCCATCATATGTGAACCACAGGTGGAAAAGGCTTTTTTCCTTCCTTCTGATGAACGGATCTTTAGAATGGACAAAACTATGTTGAAATAAGACGCTAGAACTGTAATCATGGAAAAAAACAAGTTTGTAGCTGTAGATATAAAGACTACGGTTTGTGGAAAGTAAGTATCAGAGCAGGACAATGCTAACAAAGGCACATTATCACAGTAGAAATGATTGATTACATTGGAAGAGCAATAAGACACGGAGAATACACAAGATGAAACCACAACAGCTGTAGAAAAGCCATAGAGGTATGTGAGGGACACCAGCAGAAGGCAGATCTTGCGAGATACCACCACCATGTAGAGCAGGGGATTGCAGATGGCCACATAGCGGTCATAGGCCATCACAGCTAGCATGATCACCTCTGATACAATGAAAAGCAGGAAACCTCCCAGTTGGGTGGCACATTCATAGTATGAGGTAGTTTTTTTCTTTACTAAAAAATTGATCAGCATTTTAGGAGCAATGACGGTAGAGTTGCCAAGGTTGATGATAGCCAAATGTCTGAGGAAAAAATACATGGGGGTTTGAAGTCGAGGGTCAACACTGGTGAGGGTGATGATGCCCAGGTTTCCTGACACAGTCAGCCCATAGATCAGTAGGAAGACCAGGAAGAGAGGAATCTGGAGCTCTGGACGGTCTGAGACACCTGTGAGAATAAACTCAGTGACCCGGGTGAAATTTTCAGGAGTCATGTAGGAGTTTGGGAATTCATCTGTTTGGGCAAGAAAGGAAGAGGTTTTTACAGAATTTAAGGAATTATTTTCTAGTACTGCCCTTAGATGGCAAGAGCATTTCCTAAGAAATATTTCCTTGAATTATATATTAATCTAGCTCAGTTATTAAACTCAAGCTTCCAGGTCTATCTAGTAAGTAAAACTTATAATCCTTTGGGAGACAGAAAGAGCAATTGTGGACAATTAGGTGTGATAGCTCAAATAGATGGTCCTGGTTATAGGATTTAGCTTTCACAGTCTTATTGAATTATGGATATGTTCTTAGCTTATAAACACTTGATGCCATGATTTATAATTTAAGTCTTTTGCATTGACTGTGAGGAAAGCTTGAGTTATTTTATGTCTGCAATAATCCAAAGGCTCCTTGTGATTTCCTAATCTAAGACTTCTTAGTTTTTCTTAAGAATAGATGATTCTGGTACCACCCTGCTTTATTTTTCTTATCTAATATAATGTGTATTAGATGTACATTAAACTCATACATTCTAACATCAATGTGTGTTAACAACATTTTTTATTTTTATTTTATCAACTCAGAAAATATACATGGAGATATACCCTTAGGTTTTTGTGATTTTTTGTTTTTTCTTAGGTTAGTGATTCTCATTTTTCCTTTCAAATAATATCAATGAAAATTTTATCATTTTTTTCAATTCTTTCATATTGTGCTTTAATGGAATCTACTTTCTATACCTTCTTTCTCTATGGTCTTTTTTTTTCTGGCCCTGAAAGTTTGTACAATTGCTCATAATCTTCCCATTATATTTTATTTTAACTACATTTTTATAAAATTGTATCATATTTTCATAGTTTACAAAATCTATCTTGTTTTAGCTTTAGTTGCTCTTTTTATTGGTATTTTTCACACTTTTGTTATTTTCCATATTGTAATAAAAGTAAACATTCTTATTGCTTAGAATTTCTGTGATAATTACAATACACACATTTCCATAAATTTACATACTATTTTAAAATGGCTGAGTGTTTTCTTAGATATTTTTAGTTAAAGGATGCCACTTGGAGTTCCTTTGTAGTGATAATTGATAATTCCAGCATTGGGCATCTGACCTAAAGAAATCCTGTCCTTGTCACTTATCTAAAAATTCAGTGTTAAATGCTGAGTCAAGTCTGTATCATTATAAATATCTGACTGGTAAATTTCTAACTCTGGATATTTTCACTCATTCTACATAGGATAAAATAGAAAGAACAATACAAAATTATTCTCTGTAAGAAAAAAATGAAGTGACAATGTAAATAATTCTACTTCAAAGAAATAAGACAAAAATAATTCCTAATTGTTATTATCTGAAATCAGCTTCTTTCTGACACTACACATCATTCTCTTTCTTGGTTTTATTAAAGCCATCTTCTGATTTATTTTTTTAGCACATTGTTATTGAATTTCTACCCTGTGCTAAGCAATATTCAGGCTTCAGATAAATTACTTATCCTTCACTTCATGGACCTGCTCTTCCAATGATAGGAAAGAGACAAAATCTGGCCAAAAATCAGGTAAACAAAATTATTGCAGACAATAATAAGTATGATAAGTAAGGGTAGGACTTTCTGAGAAGTTGACATTTGAATTAAAGGAATAAGCTATTTAATGAATGACAGGAAGAGCATCCAGGATCCCAGGCAATGGTGAATATGTTGAAAATACTACTCTGGCATAAAAAACATGCCATGCCTTTTTCCTACCTTTCCTTCTCTGGCTTTGCAGTTTTTAATTTTATGTCTGTAGCCTTCAGTCTATCCATGTCTCCATTGGCAGCCATATCAACTATCAACCAATGTTAATGCTTCCAAATTGTATCAGCTTCTGTGATTCTGCTGAAACCTAGTATATTAATGGCTTTATACTTTATTTTAAAATTCATGATTTAAACCTTAAAAACAATCATTTAAAATCAAAAACATCATATTCATCCTCTAATACTCTCTTTCAAAGCTCCGGATTGCGTTATTTGCTGATTTCTATGAATTTCCCATCCTATGCATCTTCCTCTTCTACTTCTACCTTAAGTCAAGTCTTCATTAGCTCTGCCATTGACTGTTGTATCCTTCCTGGTCACTGTGTGATGATTCTTTCAGATCAGCAGGTAGAAATACCAGTTATTAATGCTTTTGGGGTAATTAAGGTGTGCAATCTGAGCAATTTTTAGAAGAATGGGAATAATCTTTTGCATCATTTTTAATACATTTCACAATCAAGTCCATATTACTTTGATATGATCAGGTGATCAGGCTACACCTTCCAAGGGTACATAAATAGTATATTTTATCTCTGGCCCTCTGTGTCCTTACACATATTGATTCTTCTGAAATTATATTTTGATGAAAGATAACATCTCCAAAAGAAGTTGACCCACCATGTGTACCAGTGGCCCCATCAAACACAAAACAGAAATGAACATACTTAAAGTGGAGCCAACAAACTTGAGTTTTGTAGTATTTAAGAATGTCATTCCTCATAATTCTCTAGGCATGTCCAATGTCTTTAATAATATTAAACTAATGATTAACTTGGTGGTAGAAGGACAGTGAATTATATTCAGGTTATTAATAGCACCACTGTTTTGGATTTAATGGGTAACAATATTAGTCTTTAAATAGTGTACTTTAGAAATAGTTTCCATGTACTTTGCATTCTCCTTTATTATAAAATTCATCATACAGGAAAAAGAAAGAAAAACTTTTTTTGTACATTCTCTTTTAGGTCATTTGAACCAAGAGCAACCTAGAATATGCACATTTTCTTCCTCAGTTTTATTTTTTCCTTGATAAAATATAGTCAAAATTGTATCCTATCACACCAGGAGTCTATCTTTCTGAGTTTATTAAAGGCTTATACCTGCATATGCAAATACCTCTCCTCAAATGGAAGCCTTCTTTTTGATATATCATAGAAATCATTCTTTCTGATATTTTCTTAACTAAAATATTGGCAGATTTATTTACTGCAAGATAGATAGTTTAAACATGTTCCATTATTACATTGATTACATATTATGCTTACATATATACATATATGCATTTTTATGTACATATACCTATATATCTGCATATATGTATGCAGATATATTTACCTGTAAGTTATCAGATTTAATTAACAATTTTTCTGAGATAATTATAATCTCTATTTATATTCTCAAAATGTGGCATCATTTACACTGTGGTAGCTGTGTATCCAGTTATATTTCACAAAATATCCTCTTAAACATAAAATTTTCATTTTGGATAACATTGCAAAAATAAAACTAGGCTATAAAAAGCCTCAGTGAGGAATAAACAAACTTAAATACTTGAGACATAATGATGCCAGTTCTAATTTAGAAACATAAGTGGCTTGGTCTTATTAGATACCCTATATTCCTGAAAACAGTATGAATCTTTAAAACAATCTTTAAGCATTGTATTATTTGGTTATATGTAATTCTCAGTGTCTTCCAAAGTTAAACTTCTAAAGTTTAAAGTATGCTTTGGGATCCCTTAAAAACCATTGTATGTAAATATATTCTGCCCACCTCTAATGGAGCATCTGCTTCAGGTTCTTAGTGAGAGTCTCTACATGGATGTGGCAGTAGTGGTTGATAAGGTTCTGTAAACCTTTGAGACAGTAACTCTAAGCATAGGCAATCTAGGGTATGCACATGGCCTTTTATATCCCTGGGAAGGCTGTCACCTGGGACTGGTTCCTTAACAAGGTCTCCCTCTAGGAATTCAGTGAGATCCCCTGAGAGTCTTCTTTGTGGGAGTCTGAGCCTGACTCATTGAAGCAATTCAGTTCCATGACACCGGAGGGACACAGTGGTTAAAATGTTTCTTTCCAAGTAACTTATTTACCTTCAGAGAGAGATTCACTATAGCAAAAATGAAATATGTGAGATCTAGGAACTGATGGTCTAGCAGTCAAATTAGAACAAACCATATCATATCAAAATTGGCCAAGTCATTATTTAAAGAAATTGGGTGACTTGGATGTTAAAAGATGGATGTGTTCTCCAAGGAACAATCCTCATGTACTAAAATTATTATTTTACCCTTGTCTTTATGCTTGAACTTCAGTTGAGAAGACAACCACTGGAGAAGACTAAAACAGAGTATTTACTGTTATATTGAATGTGTCTATAAATTTCCTGATGGATAAATGCATTATTTTAAATACTGAATATTTTAGGTATATACTTTTTATGCATGTGATGACTAATACAATTATCTACAAAGGAACATACCTTGGGGGAATTCTCTTTGTTAGGGATTAAATCATCTTTGCAGATCTCAAGGTCTTCCCCTATAGGCCTCAAATTAAAGCTGAAAGTGAAGGTATATAGTGTGATGACATTTATATAAAGTATAAATTCACCCACATGGAACAGTATTGTATACTTTGCAAGAGTACAAAACAACAAAAAGATTCACATTAAATGTGAATGTTAACACTTAAGCACTGTCATAGAAAAATACCATAGGCTGCATGGCTTAAACAATGGGAATTTATTTTCTCACAGTGCTGGAGCCTAAAAGTCCAAGATCAAGGTGTGAGCAGGTTTGGTTCCTTCTGAGACCTCCTCTTCCTTGGCTGTCAGATGACTGTCTTTCCACTGTGTCCTCACGTGGTTGGCCCAGGGTCTGGGCCTGTGTATGGGTCTGGTGCATCTCCCTCTGTCCTCTTCTCCTCTGCTTATAAGGACCCAACTAATGACCACAACTTAACTTATTGCCTCTGTAAAGGCTCTATTTTCAAATACATTCTGAGGGACTGGGGGTTAGGGCTCTTCAACTTATGAATTTTGGGGTGGACAGAATTCAGCCCATAACAAAAGAGACTGAAAACTAAATAAGAAAGGGGCTTTGCTAGCTCAGTAATGGTAATGTACCATGATCTGAGAAACATAATTGTTCTAAACCTCTCACTAGAGACTGCAAAACAGTTGAAAAGATCAATACCTCCAGTGGGTGGAAAACCAGATTCTGGAAATCTATTCAGCAGAAATAATACAAATTATTAAAATACATAAATAAAATCTTCATGAGATTATTATTCAGTGTAGTGAAACACTAGAAGCTAAATGCATGGTTTAGATATTTATTAAGTAAATTTAGACATCTATTTAGTATATTGTTATACACACACACACACACACACACACACATATATATATAATTTTTTTTTTTTTTAGATAGAATCTTGTTTTGTCACCCAGGCCACAGTGCTGTGGCATCAGCTTAGCTCACAGCAATCTCAAACTCCTGGGCTCAAGCGATCCTCCTGCCTCAGTCTTCCAAGCAGCTGGGACTACTGGCACACACCACCATGCATGACTAATTTTTTCTATTTTTGGTAGAGACGGGGTCTCATTCTTGCTCAGGTTGGTCTCAAACTCCTGCCCTCAAGCAATCCTCCTGCCTAAGCCTCCCAGAGAGCTAGAATTACAGGTGTGAGCCGCTGCATCTGGTCTATATTCTTTTAAAATTTTGTTTATAGGAATCATATAGAAATATGAGGGAACCTTCTGAGAGATGAACTAAAAATATCATTCAAAGGGTCATATTTTACTACATGGTTCACATTTATGCAGAATCTAAAAAATTCATACTCATAGAAACAGAGTAGAATGGTGGTTGCCAGTGGCTATAAGGCGGGGACAATTTGGAGGTTTTGATCAAAGACTACAATGTTTAAGTTATGCAAGATGAATAAGGTCTGGAAATCTAATGTTTAGCTTGGGGATTATAGTTAATAATACTGTATTGTATACTTGAAATGTGCTGATGGAGTAGATTTTAAATGTTCTCACTACATATACACAGAACAGTGAACTATGTGAGATGATGGATGTGTAAAATTAGCTTGATGGTGGTATGCATTTCACAACGTACACATCTAAGTAAAGTTCATGTTGTACACCTTAAATATATACAGTTTTTATTTGCCAGTTATAACTCAATAAGCTGAAAAAAATAAACTGGATGTATTATGTTGCTTTCAGTTAAAACAGCAATAATTTACATTCAATAAAATGTCATATGTGTGTAGGGCAGAGGAATTTGTAGGACAGAGGAAGGGCAGAGGAATTCTTCTACTTGTCGGGAATTCACTTGGGTGGGGCAATGAGCTAACGGCAAACCTTTGCTTCTGGTCATTGCTTGCTTGCTACACCGCTGTAAGGGGAATTATGGGATGAGGTCACTGAAGCACAGGCGACTGGCCTATCAGGCAATAGAGGGCAACCAATCCGCCAATTATTTCAAAAGGCAATAGTGGGCAACCAATCATTTTAAAGGTCAACGCATGATCCATGCGTAGTCGGCTTGTGCGCAGCTTGTGCACCATGGGGATAAAAGGCATGCCGTTGTTCCGGTCGGGGTCCTTGCCTGTGAGAGTGGCCACTGCGTTGGTGCTCTGGGGCTTGGACCCTGGCTAGCCAGAAAATAAACCTCCTCTTGTGTGATTGCATCCTCGATGTCTCTGCTTTTCTGTCTGGTGGGGCTGTGGAAGGTCGGTCCCTAACAATGTGCATGGAAGATATTTGAAAACTGCTATTTCATCTCCTAATGAAGAGTCTATCTTCATCACTCCAAAATATTACTTGATGTCCTCTTGGAGTAAATGTCCCCATTCTATCTCCCCACGCTACAATTGATGTGATTTCCATCACCATATTTTAGTTTACCTGTTCTAGGGCTTCATGGAAAAAGAATAATACTTTGTGTGTGTCTGGTTAATGCTCCTGAAATCCACCCATGATGCCACATGGATCTGTAGTTCATGTCCTTTTATTGCTGGCTAGCAGTCTATTTTAAGGACATATCAAAATTTATCTTTTTTAATTTTGATAAACAGTAGAAATATTTCCATTGTGTACTCTTTTGAATAAAGCTATTAGTAAAATAAGTATACACATATTTCTCTGGACATGTGTTCATTCCTCCTGGGTAAACATTCAGAAGGCAAATTCCTGAAATATATGGTAATCATACATTAACTTTATTGAAGTTAATATTTTCCAAAATATTTTTCAAAGTAAGGTACCATTGCACATGCCAATCAGCAATATATGATCATTTTAGGACATGAAAATATAAACTGATACTTGTTAACAACTTGATACTTGGTTCTTGGTAATGGGATGTTTTTACTTTTACCAAAACAGGTGGGCAGGAAGTAATATCTCATTGTTATTATAATTTCATTTGCCTGATAATTAAAGATGTTCTCTGTGTCATGTACTTATTGACCATTAATATTTATTCTGTGAAGAATCTTTTTACATCTTTTTTCTTGTTTTTATTAGGTTTGCCTTTATTCACTTGTAGGGATATTTATATATGACCTGAATCTCATTATATCACTTAGGCTTCTTAATGACTAGTCAATTGAATATGCATATGTACATGTATTTTGGACTCTTTATTCTGTTCCACTAATCTATTTACCTATCTTTATAAAATGCTTCATTATCTTGAGTACTGTGGTTTTACAGTCAGTCTTGAAATCTGTATTGTGTTATACTTTGTTCTTTTACAAGATTGTCTTGGCTATTCTGAATCTTTTTTGTGCTATATAGAAGTAGACCAGAAGCTAGACATGGGGCACCTTGACTGTGCACTAGGTTTAGGCTATGTTTAGGCTAGGTTTAGACCTGTCCACTCTGACAAGTCTCTTTTGGCAGCAGATATTAAAATTCATATTAAAATTTGATGCCTTACTTAAAATTGAGCTTTATTAAAAGTTGTGCCTTGGGTTCAACCCATGGTGTTAAATTTAAAATGAAACACTTGGATTCTTAGGATAAAATGATAAAACAGATAGTGCCTCTTCTGTTAACTCTTTCCAGTCTTAAGACCGCCTCTTCCATGCAAATATATTTGTGTCTGTGAGAAAATTCCTTCAGGAAAGAATGTGTCTTTGTGTTAAGAATAAAGAAGCCATGGGGTAAGAATTGAAGAAATCCATTGCAGAGCCCATGTAGGAAATCAGCCTCGAGGACTTTTAGAAATAACTGGAGGCTGAGTTTATGCAATCCTATTATTGGGGCTTTGCAACTTTTGACATTTAAATGTTAATACAGATATATTTCAATTTCCTATGTAAACCCTTTTGGTGCAACAAGCCATTAATTAGACATAGAATGAAAACAAACCAAAGAAAGCTAAAGGTTCTAACTCTGGGAAGAAGTTGAGGAAGTATACATACTAGAAAGATTTTCACGTAGGTTGACATCCTTATTTTTCAACTACTCATCATTATAATTATGATGAGAATATGTATTTCATGGCTGTTAGTGACAATGGCAGTGTCCAGTGAGGTCTGGAATATTATAAGCTTTCTGTAGAAAAGAAGAGAATGTTTAAGAACCATTCATATTTTTTCTATAGCATCAAATAGCTCATATTATTGCATTTTGCAAATTTTACCCTCACACCATAAAAATGATACAGAAATAAATGTTTGTCTCTTCTCATGGAAAATGAAAAATTAAATACTCCTTGGGAAAATATCACAATGCATAGCATTTTTCCTCTGTGCTTTCTTCAATATTTCAAATTATTATGTATGTATGCAAAACATTTTCCCCACAGCACATTATTAAATTGTGGGGAAATACAAACACATTCATTTTAGAAATGAAAAGCACCAGTACATCATTTTATAAGCATAAGGCTATTTATTCCAATGTTTCTTTGTGTTGTCCAAAAAAAAAAAAAAAAAAAAAACTTGAAACAACCAAATGTCTATCAATTGAGGAATGGATAAATACAAAGTGATTGTTCTAATCCCCAGAGTTGTATGCTGATATTAAAATGAAACAAAAATTTAAGGTTTATTGCCTAAGAAAAATGCTGCTGATGACTTCTCAAGTAGGAAAAAGTTGCAGGGACCATGATATAATGTGGTTGTTAAGCCCTTTCCGAGGTAGCATGCTTTATTTTCTACTTAGCCCAGATTTTTAAAACAGTCTTTGCATGTTAGTTATAAATACATATTTACTTATTTCATGCCACCTGCCTAGACTACATATTCTCCATGGTCCATTCTAATTTGTCTTTAATACCCAGTGACTGTTATAAAATATCTATTATTAATATTCTGGTTCATTTTGCTCCATTTTAACTATTTAAGCCTTTTTTCCCCCCGTAGCTCTACAAGTCTAAGTTCAACCAAAAATTTGAGATGATTTGTCTTACTTATAAATAATATAGATTCTGATATTATTTTGAAAGTCACTTGGGGCTTATATCACCTGGCTGCAGTATTTTTTTCATAGAGGTGGAGAAGATATAAAAGTGTTTTGTCCAGAAAGGGAGGAAAACTTAAGGAGGTAAAATATTTCTACTTTTTGATGCTTTAATTTGTTTGACAGAGTATTAAACTAAGATTGTTGACCCCTACTATACAACTGAATATTAAGATACTAAGCAGAACTTTTCAATTGATTAGTTAATATTCTCTTTAAAGCATCTTTTACTTCTCTGTTCCTTAGGCTGTAGATCAATGGATTCAGCATAGGGATCACCAAGGTGTAAAACACAGAGGCCATTTTGTCAATATCGAAAGTATGGCTGGATTTGGGTTGCAGGTAAATAAACAATAATGTCCCATAGAACACGACCACCACTGTCAGATGGGAGCTACAGGTGGAGAAGGCTTTGTACCTCCCCTCCACTGAGTTCATTCCGAGAATGGCCACAAGAATAAACATATAGGATATGAGAACAATCAAGAGGGAGGAGAGCAAATTACATCCAGCGAAGATCAAAATGATCAGTTCTAATTCACGTGTGTCAGAACAAAGCATGGATATCAGAGGGAGACAGTCACAGTAAAAGTAATGGATGATATTGGAGCCACAGAAGGACAGCATAAATAACTTAATTGTAAGGAGTAGTGACACAAAGGTGCTGTAGAGATAGGGAATAAATACCAGCACCCAACGTACTTTCTCTGCCATGATGACCACATAGAGAAGGGGTTTACAGATGGCTACGTAGCGATCATAGGCCATTGCTGATAGAATAAACAGTTCAGTAATGATGAAAATCTCAAAGAATGCTAGCTGAGTGGCACACCAATTGTAGGAAATGGTATTTTTGTGGACAACGAAGTTTACCATCATTTTTGGGCCAATGACAGTGGAGTAACCAAGGTCAGTAATTGACAAGTGCCTAAGGAAAAAGTACATGGGGGTGTGTAGCTTGGAGTCCAAATGGGTCAAGATAACAATGCCCAGATTGCCCACCACTGTGACTAAGTATATGATGAGGAAGATTCCAAAGAGTGGTGCCTGCAGCCTAGGGTTGTCTGTGATCCCCATGAGAATAAATTCTGTCACCTTGGTCACTGCAGTATGATTGCGTCTCTCCATACGGTTCATCTTGGTAACCTGTTAAGGTATAAAATCAATACTAATTATATTTGAAGCACTATCTCCTAAGTGAATTGAAAAGATGATGTGTTAGCTATAAAGAAAATTTCTTTATCCCAAATTCTCAGTAGAGACTCCTCCTCCCATCAGGTCAAAACCCATATCTACACTCACATTCACTGAAGCTTTATTAAAGTTGCTTTAGAAGGGCAAGATATCTTGAAGTGAGTGTTGTGATGCAGCTACTATGAGCTAGTTTTTTTGACCTCCAAGCCACTTTAAGGACATGAAATTAGCCATGAATTTTATTTCAGCTTTTAACATTTTTAAGCAATTTGTAAAGCAAACATCTATACCTAAACCACAAACTTTACCTTATTGCCAATCATCACAAAATGTTTAAAGAAGCAATAGAATAACAGATTTTCCAAACTATTGATGAGGTAATGAATCAGTCAGCAGTTAAGAAGCCTCTTGCCCATATGGAAATAAAACTCATCGGAAATCAAGTAGGTGTGGGGGGGAGTAGGAGGGAATGAGTAAATACACACCTAATGCATACATTGCTCAGTATCTGGGTGACAGAAACACTTATAACTTTGACTTAAACTGTGTAAAAGCAATGTATGAAACCAAAACATTTATACCCCCTGTGATACTCTGAAGTAAAATCAAATTTAAAAAAGAAACCTCTGCTCGTCAAATAAATATATGTTTAATACGTCCAACTATAAATTCAATTTGTTTATCTAATACAAATTTTATGCCATACTATGTAATATTTAGAACTTTTTAAATAATATCGTAGTCTGCTTTTGCCACAGTTGTCCTTTTTGGCTGTTGAGTAACTGCCTCTGATGATCTCTGAATCATACATCTCTCATCTGCATGAAAAGGACCTGCACGTTTTGTCTGTTCGTGAACACTTAATGGAGAGTTATGAAAAATAGACCCGGCAGAAACAAGAATATAAATTAGTATCAAAAATAAGAAGGAACTCATTCTGTGCCAGCGGATTTTCTAAGCACTTTACAGATATTAAATCATGTAGTTTGTAATACCATACCCATTAAAAAGACAAGGAGACTGAGGCACAGAGAATTTAATAACTTAATAAATGTATCTCAAATTATAAGTGATGGAGTTAGGATTCAAATAAAGTCATCCTACCTTCATAAAATGTTCTCATAAACAGTATAGCATTCCTACCTTCAGAAAATATCCTCATAAACACTAGAGCATGCCACCTATCCATGAAGGACACTCTGCACAGATATGAAATAAAGGCTGTGACAGGAAGGGCACCAGGCTAAAGTATATGTAAATACATATATATATATATATATATATATATATATATATATATATATACATATATATATACTTGTTAAATATATATATACTTGTTATATATATATATATATATATATACTTATATATATATACTTGTTAAAATAGATGACTGAAGCATGAAGTTAATTTGAAAACTAAGGTAGAAAAATTAATGAACACCAAATATTGAAGACTGTATAACTGGTTTGTCCTGAACATTAATCCAATTGAGGACATAACTGTATATTGCAAGGAAAGAAATAGTTTTGCAGAGCATAGGGACTTTCAAGATCTTTGGTGATAACCTCAAGTTATGTCCTTAGAAATTTTCAAAGACTGGTATTTCTACTTACCTCAACGGAGAATTTGCCTTGGCTTCTTACTGCTGTAGTCCTCACAGGTTATTACAGACAAATTTAAGGGTTTTTTTCTACCCCCTGAGACTCATTGTGTGTAAGTTTTAATCTGATTCAAGCATACACAAATTGCACAAATTGCCTAAGGGAGAGTCTCTTAGATATCCGTTAATTATTGTCAGAATGTTTCATTAGGAAAAGTTAAAAGTATTTCATGCATCATGTCTGACTGAATAAACAAATTATGCAATACCACTAAACAATGGAAATCACTATTACTGCCATTGTCAGCATCACGGTCACACAATATCATGCAAAGATTTCATACCCACCCTCTCAACACACACAATTCACAAGTAAATGGAAGAATAACTTTCTCAAAAAATTTTACATAATATTTGATAATGTATCCATTGCCCAGACCAAGGATATCTGTGTTGACTCTATAAATATAGGCTTACATAATTAATGTCTTATGACATGTATTGTTTCTGCCAAGAAATTAGTGGCAAGTCATTTATTCATTTCTTTATAACATGTCTTTTATCTCTGGCTATGTTTAAGAATTTTTCTATCATCAGTTTTGAGAAATTTCATTGTGATGTGCTTTGGCATAATTTCCTTTTTTTGCCTTGGAGTTATTTAGCCTTTTTAAAAAAATATTTGGCATTATGTTTTGTAAAAATGAATTTAGAAAAATAATTCTGGGCCACAATTTTCCCATGTTTTTTCTGCCCTATAAGAACAAGTATCTTCACTTCCCTACAACTTATAATTAAACATGTGTTAGCTGATTCTTTATTGTTCAACAATAAACTATATTCATCTTCATGGCTTTAATGCAGAATAAAATTTTCATCTCCAAAAAAATTACTATTTTGGGGGGTAGAAAATATATGGTTTTTATCACTCTTTGTGATGCCCTATGAAAAATTAGTATGTAATTCTTTCAGATTGTTATGCCCAAATCATCTGAGAGACTTAAGAAATTGTCTCAATGTGCCCACGAATTTAAGACACTCTATATATTCTCCAGTGAGAAAATGTAAGAGGCATCTCAAGGAAAGATACAGAACAACATAAATAATCTGTAGAGTTCTATGGAGAACTACATGTTGTAAAGAAGCTGTATATAGAATTCAGGAAAATCAGCAAGAAAATTTCAAATAACCCTATAGTGGGCAAAGGACATAAACAGAAACTTTTCAAAAGAAGATAGACTAATAGCCAAGAAACATATGAAAAAATGCTCATCATCTCTAATCATCAGGGAAATACAAATCAAAACCACAGTGAGATATCACTTATCTCCAGTGAGAATGGCCTTTATCAAAAAGTGTCCAACAGACGAAATTGGACCAACTGACCAACACTAAGGTGTTCACATGATAGTAATGCTCACTGGGTGCTGGTTGGGGTGGGGGTAAACCCACAACTAATGGAAGCAGAATGCACTGTATAGGGGAGGTTCACACTTGTACATTTGTAGCCCTGGCTTGGATGAGACAAACAGCATTACATATAACCAAAATGTTTATACCTCCATAATATCGAGAATAAAATATATGTATTGTGTGTGTGTGTGTGTGTGTGTGTGTTCCAAAACAATAAAAGATAGCATGGATGTGGATAGATAGGAACACTCATATAATGCTGGTGGGACTACAAACTAGTTCAACCTCTGTGGAAAGTAATATGGAGATAGCTCAAAGAGCTACAATTAGAACTACCATTTGATCCAGTGATCCCATTACTGGGCATCTACCCAAAGGAACAAAAGACATTCTATAATCAAGACATCTGCACTCGAATGTTTATAGCAGCACAATTCACAATTGCAAAGATGTGGAAACAACCCAAGTGCCTATCTATACATGAGTGGATTAATAAAATGTGGTATATGTATACCATGGAGTTCTACTCAGATCCCCAAAACAATGGTGATCTAGCACCTCTTATATCATCCTGGGTGGAGCTGGAGCCCATTCTACTAAGTATCACAAGAATGGAAAAACAAGCACCATATGTACTCACCATCTAATTGATATTAACTGATTTAACTGACTAACACTTAAGTACACATATAGTAGTAGCATTCACTGGGTGTCAGACAGGTGAGAGGGGAGGAGGGGATAGGTATATACACACTTAGTGGGTACAGTGTACACCCAAATGGACACTATGCAATGTCTGGGGGATGTACATGCTTGAAGCTCTGACTTGGGTGGGGCAAAGGCAATATATGTACCCTAACCATTTGTACCCCACCCCCTAATATGCTGAAATAAAAAGAAAAAAGAAAGGAAAAGAAAAGAAACTCACCCATTCCCTTACACAGAGTCAACTATTAAAATAACAAATGAAAATATTTTGACATCGGTTAAAGGTTTTAAATTAGGTAAATGTGGAACAGTTGTAAACTAATGTTGAAATTGCAAATTACATTATCATTATCACATAGGATTTTTTCCCTTCAAAATTATTATTCAAATAAAATATGTGCTAGGCATTAGTTTAACATATATTATTTAGCACATATATGTAAGACATTAGTATTCTCATACTGAGATGGCACCAAGCTTAAACTATTCAATTTTCCTAAAATCACATAACTAATAACTGAAATATTTGAAATTAAAGTCTTATCCTTAAATGAATGATATATATGCCTTATCCTTTCATATGATAAACTTACAAAAATTATTGTAATGTAGTGTGTATGACTATGATTTCATCAGTGGTAGTGTTTCCTGAGTGAGACCCACAACAATGTGATGGCTGTAAGTATTAATTCAACCTTATTGAAAGTAAATTTTACACAAAGATAGTAAACCCCTATTCTCATCGTATTTTAAGCATGCACTCTTCCAACCAAAGTAATGAGTTTTGAAAAAACATTTTTTCATTTGTATTTAACACCTAATTCAATACATAGAGCATTTTGAACACCAAAAAACCCCAAGAAATGAAAAACAAAAACAAACAAACAAACAAACATAAAAACTCCATTATGTTTTATGCCCCTTGCCCACACCTTAAACTACTCTCATCATAGAGAAATTTTGCCAATACTTTAACCCACAAAAAAAAAAAAAATATTCTCCATACCTAGGAGACTACTGCTCTGATTCCTATCCTTAGATCTGTTTTTTTGGTTACTGGGTTTCATATTCATTGAATTGCCTAATTGGTTCTACTGATCTTGCTTCTTTCATTCAGTATATTGCATATATGTATGTGTGTGTGTGTGTGTGTGTGTGTGTGTGTATTATTTTAGCATATTATGGGGGAACAAATGTTTAGGTTACATATGTTATTGCCTTTGCAACATTTATTGTTTTGGAACTTTTTGATAAAGGCCATTCTCACTGAAGGTAAGTGATATCTCATTGTGGTTTTGATTTGCAT